ATTCTTTTCGACTTTCGTCACGAAAATAAAAGTTAAAGGGATGAAATAGGGGTAAAATAGGAATAAACTGGTGACGCCATCTATCGGATTGAGTAAAAACAACAAATCTGGTATAACTGATACTTTAGAGTTGAATTATATATTTACGTACCACGGTTATCTACAGATAATATTATTATATTTTATATGATATTATATATTATTATATTATCTGTAGATAACCGTGTTACGTACGAACCTCGTGTGGTCTGCCATCTATACCATAGGTATAATAATGCCTACTAACTGGTGATACATTGCACGCATAATTACTAACTAGTCTCACGAGCAACGGCAGGAGGGCTGACTATAAATTAAAATATAATATGATTTACACTTAAGACGTTTATTCTACAGTGGTTTCAGTGGCGGTTTTTAGGGGGGCTAAGGGGGCGCTCGCCCCCCTTGAATTTTTTTGTGTCAACTGTTATGTTCTGTAAGTTATATATGCAACTATTATGGTGGGTGGGGGGGCACAAAAATTGAAAATAGTCCCCCCCCTTGATGTTTTATCAAAACCGTCACTGAGTGGTTTGCATCCTAAAGAAGTTGAATAATCATAATTTTTTTCGAGCCAGGTCGAAGAGGATTCGAAACTTTGTCACGCACTCACRCCTGTTCTCTGGATGTTTTTATAGTATAAATGGCAAAAATACCAAATAAATAATATATTAAAATAATATGGTAAATTATACGTCCCTATTTGCGATTATCACTCAYCAGATATACAGGTTGATTCGTTTAAAATAARWCACTCATAATATCAAAAAATTTYAACGTTTGTGAAAATATTTCTTTTGCGTAATTTTAAGTAATGTMCCTATATTTTTTAATACTTTTATCGTTTTAATTTGTTTAAACTAAAAACATTGTTCTTTATTTTTAGTTTCAAAGCAGAATATATTTTTGGAGAACTTAGATACAACTTTTTTTGTTATTATTGATAAAAACAACAACAATATATTTACAATCGATACAACTTAAAAATTAAATTTTGGACGAAACGACCAATAGTTTACGAGTTACTAAAGTATTTTAAGTTTTGATGAGTGGAGTAAATAGTATGGTATTCACCCTTCRAAGGGTTACGATAATACTTACGTCTTATATATATATTACCCCGCCATACTACGCTCATCCAATTTTAAAATATTTTCAACTAATAAACTATACTACCCAAAATTTGATTTTTATAGATAAATATACTATATACATTATACAGGGGCGGATAGGCACACCGGGATACCGGGACTTTCCCGGTGCGCCCCCGTATTACCGCCTACCGGCGCCCCCTTCCAATATGCAGTGGTATAAATTTTTCCAAGATGGAATCCATAGGGCTTTTTACATTTAGGACCTTCAATTAATTTTTACTTAGCGTCTAAGCAAATTTGTATTCTGTATGAAATACCTATAA